AAAAAAAAAAAAAAAAGATGAAAGTTTAAACACCGGGTTTAATAACCAAAACCTTTCCCTTTTTGTCAAGAACTCTTCTGACCTCTCCCCGTAACTGTCAGAATCGTCTCCACAGAAGCCACCTGGCATTTTACCATTTTCTCTTCAGTCTAAATGCCACCTCTGGGGAGCAACACTACAGCACCTGGTATCAGGGAGCAGGTAGGGGAAGGCTTTAAATGAAACATTCTCAAGTTCAAGTTAAATGACATGTATATTTAATAAATGTAATCACACAATAATATGCACAAAAATATATTTATATATGAAATGATCAACAGATATATATTCAGCTACTAAAGAGCGGCTTAGCTTGAACTGTCAACACACACTGCCGTGTCACTCGAGAGGCAGGACACACAGGGGCTCAGAGAACGAGTTGTGGGGCCAACCCGGCGCTCCCGCACACTGGCTGTCAAGCTCGGGCAGGTGCCCTCCCTGGGAGCCACCGGTGACAACGCTGCTCACGTCGGGCTGCTGTGAGGACTGATGGACCGACACCCATAAAGCCCGGAGAACTACAGCTACCCCGGCAGGTGGCGAGCACTTCCTCAGGGGTGGCTGTCACTGGTGTTCTAGACCCTGACAAACACTAACGGTGTTTGGGGGAAAGAGAAAAGAAAACAGCCTCTCACCCTCCTTTGTGCTTCTTCTTCTTTGGGGTGTCTTCTTCTGAGGCCCTGCGGCCTCGGCCCCGGGAGCCCCTCTTTTCTTTCTGACCTCGACCTTCTAGAAGACAATAAAGACCCCAATCATTTTCACAGAATTCACTAAAGCAGGACTAGATTTACTCAAATATGGTATTTACCGTACTGTTCCTAACACATTTATCAGACAAAATTCTTCAAAAATCCATAGTTAAAAGTAACAAAATAAGAAAAAATTAAGACTTGCTTTTTAACCCTCTTCCTCCAGAGCTTTCAAAGTCACTGCCCTCCATCTTGTCCTTGAGATCCGCTTCAAAGCGCGCCAGGTCTGCGTCGAGCCTTCGAATGTGCTTGTCCACCTGCACACAAGGATGCTCCAAGTCTTACTTCAAAATGAAAGCAAAGACCTCAGGAGTCACAAATGCACTGCAAGCCGACCGACAAGCACCTTACTGCCCTTTAACTGAGTCTTCTATCAACAAAGCTCCACTAGGATGAGGCCACAATCTCAAAGTGTAGGCAAGAGTCTTCTCTGACCCCTCAACAGACTACATCCTACTCAGGAAGAACCACGGAGGTGGCAGTGAGACACAGATGCGTGAGGGCAACGGAAGGGGGCGAGGGCATTTCATGTCGAGTCCTAATTTAAAAATCTAAGGAATGGATGGATTCTTAACCAGAAAAACCCAAAAAAGGAAAACAGACAATTACTCTAGTGCTTTAGGTACAGGGTGAGCTGGAAGAAAGAAAGGAGGCAGGGGTGGCCAGTTAGCTCATTGGTTAGCGCGTCGTGCTGATAACACCAAGGTTGCTGGTCCAGTCCCTGCATGGGCCACTGTGAGCTGCGCCCTCCCTAGAAGAGTCAACTATGCCATTGTAGCATGAAAGCCATGTGTAACCAATGACCATGGCTGTTCCCCAGTAAAATTTATTTAAAAAAAAAAAAAAAAAAGAAAGAAAAGAAAAAAGAAAGAAGGCTGTATGGTCAGAGTAACAGGCCAGGGCAAGCATGACTGCTCCTGGGGGCAGGGGCCGGGGGGAGTGGGGGCGTCCCACGGGGAAGTAGTACCACGTACGCCTTGACCCACGAGCTCCTGACAATCGACCCATGCCGAAGTCACAGCCCCCAACAGGGTAGTGACAACACCCTTCCATGTCTGGAAATGAACTACAATCTTAAGTTCATTATGCTTCAGAGAGAAAATTTGACTTAATGACAACTGATCGGACCTAACTCTTTAGAAAACAGGCTGCTTACTCTAAAGATGCAGCACTTTGGGGTCTCCTTCTAGAGCATCGTTTCTCGAATACGACTTAATTCAGGATTTGAAAAAATTACTATTGTTTTATTGGGGAGGTGGGGAAGGGCATTAGTCAGGCAACTGCCGCGAGGCCAGCAGAGCTTGGCTACACGACCTCACGAGCCCGATGTGGGCTGAGTGAAGTTTACTTGAGAGGAAACAGGACAAGCAATCCTAGGACTCTTCTTAAAGCTGACCAAAAGGGTTAAAACATAGACAAATGGATACAAGTGGACCGCCTCCCCAGCCAAGTGCACAAGCCAACGGGCATAGGAAACAAGACGCAGTAGTGGTCCCGGATGAAGGACACCCCCAATTTGTACTTCCTCTAGAAGCATTGCTCTGCCAAAGCCTGTCTGCCACATGCGCATACCACCTGTGAGTGGCCTGTGTGGCCATGCTGCTCACCATCTCGTAGGTCTGCATGGCCAGCTGCACCTTGTCATCGCTGTACTCCTTGCACCTGCTGTAGGCACCCTGGATGCGCTGCAGGTGTGCCACGCGCTGCTCGGGGGACAGTGTCTTCACCGTGGAGACATACTCCGCAGCCAGCACATCGATCTCTGCCTTCTTGTCTGGGAGAGAAACGGTGAGGTTAGGCCCGCTCCATGTACCACACACGCTCGCCAACATGGCGACAAGCAAGGCCTGACAATACCAAGTTTCGGCAGAGGAGGCCGTGCACACCACAGAGCTGTCACACACTCCGACCACAGCAACATGCCCAGGGTGGTGCCAGCATAGGACTGCTGTCCCAGCGAGTGGGCATTGTGCCCTCCATGACTGCCGAGTCCCTGTTTAAAGAATAAAGTACAGGCAGGACAGATACAACACTTAGCTTTTTGGTTCAGAGGTGGGGAAGTGACTATCGCAGGTGGAAACTCAGGGTGGCAGCCCCCGGGGGTCACAAAGGTCCCCCAGGTGCCAGAGGTGGAGAGGTTATTTATTAAGCAGTCTCTAAATGTTTATGCTTATTTCGGATGTAAATGCTGTATTTCATAATAATAGAAGTCTCTGTGTTCACTAGTAAGGATGCTGTACCTTGGTGAAACAACAGCTATTCCGACAAGGAAAACGGAATGAAAATCATCCACACCAACAACCATGCTCATCACCACACATGTAACATCTCAGGGCTAAGGGCAGCCCGGAACTTCGAAACAGGACAGAGAAAAGATCACATGCATAAAGGTGAGGGCTCCAAATGGCCTCAGATGTCTCAGCAGCAACTCGGACGCCAGGAGCCAATGCAGAATGCCTGCCACGTGCTAGGGAATGGCTGTCAACCGGCCAAACGATTAATCGAATATGAGGCTAGAATACACACATTTTCAGACATGCAATGTTGTAAGACCGTTCCCTTCCCATGCACCCTTTCTCAGGAGGCGACCTCCAAAACAAGAAAGAGGACACTTAGGACCCAGGAAACAAGCTCCTGACAGAAGAGGAGCAAAGGAGAGGCTACCAATACCCAGAGCCGCACCTGCACAGGCCCGAAACCAGCGGCCCAGGAGGACCTGAAGACCAGCGGGCTCCTGGGGAGATCTCTGTGCAGAGTGAGCACACACCTGGCAGGGAACCTGGTGCAGCAGATGCACTGAAAACACAGATGTGTGTGGAGTGTGAAAAACAAAGCCAACACACAAAGCAATCAGGAACTCCAAGAAAAAGTTATTCAAAAAAGTTCTGTAAGCCCAGCATGCAGTGTGGCTCGGCCAGGGGTAAGCCACCTACCAGGTGTTGCCAATGGAGCTGCCACCATCGGTCCAACACAACTCAAATCCCAACCCACTACACTGGAAGATGGTGAGGGAGGCGGGCTGCATGAGCTGGGTGGGGGCAACTGTAGGGTAAGTTCATTTTCCATAATAACTGAACAAAGTCTAAAACTGAAGGCTAAGAGAATAATAAATAGCAGCAAAATTTGAGGCTTAGAAACAGGGACTTAAATATCAAGAAATCAAAAAGCACTAACTTTTTAAACTACGCATACATAGTTTGAAATTAGAAAATCTTTTAAAAGAAAGAAAAGCTCACAAGTATTTTGACTGTAAGGAGAGATGATGCTTATAGAAATGTGATTTGAAGATGTGTAAGAATCCAAAGAACTAAGTTTGGTTTAAAGTATCAGCACTCTCGCTAGGACACCATCCAACGCACACAGCCTAGGGCTAGGCTGCGGCCCCACTGCACCGGGTCCCCTGGTGGCCCAGTGCCACCCCAGTACCCTGGTGCCTCCTCTCCCAAGCAGTACTGAAGGCCTGAAACTACCTTCTGTCCTCTGGTCCAGCTCTCGCATCAGCTGGAAGTTCCTCTGAAGTTCACAGGGAAGGTTCTCGATACCTGAAACACACAGACATGGAGTTCTCAGTAGTGGCACACAGATCTGCCCTCTCGGCTTTATAGCTAAAGTCTGCAGATAACAAGCCCACTTTGTCTTCTGTTTCTGTTAGGGTTTGGGAGGACAAGGGTTAAGAAATCTTCTTTTAGGGACAAGTGAGTACCAAACACTGATAATAGGCCGACACACTTAAGGAGTTGTCAGAAGCTGGAAAAGCTAGAGGTGAACTTAGAAATGAGCTACAAGCAGAGGCCGGGAAGTTGGCCGTGTGACCCTTCTACCCTAGACCCCAAGCCATTCCTCCGTCTACATCACTCCTCACAGCCAGCCAGTCCCATGCCTGGGGGTCCTCCTAGATCTTCCTCCACTGGACTCTGAAACCCAGTGCGCTGGCCAGCACAGAACTTTACCCAAGCATGGAAATGTGCTCTGAGCTGCCCAAAACCTGGACACTGGCCATATGGGGCTACTGGGTGCATGAAATGGGGCTAGTACCACTGAGGGACTGAATTTCTAATTTCACTCCAGTTTAATTCATTTCAAGTTAAACAGGCCATGCTAAATGGCACATGCTGTGGACCCCACCCACGCTGCTTGTCTGTCTGCACTGCCCTCCTCTGCGTCCAAGCCAAGCTCCTCCCAGTCTGCACAGCCACCACAAGCCCCTGACAGCTTCTGCATCCCCATCCACACTCCCCCACCTAATCTTTCAAAGCTGCTGCTTAAAGCCCCAGCATTCCCCAGCTCACCCAGACAGCCACACCAAGGCCCAGCACAGCCCCGGGCTCCCCACACCCTCCCCAGACCTCCCAGCCCTGTTCTACTGCCCAGACCTCTGCAAGACACTGCCATCCCCTGCTCTCCAGATCCGCTGGGCTCCTTCATGGTCCTTAATCTTCTGTGAGCTTTTTAAAAATCCTTCTGCCCATTTGACTGTTAAGTGTCAGGAAAACAGGGGATTGTGCCTCCTTTCCTGGCACACGGCAGGTGCTCAAGGAGTGGGCAAGTGCCTCCATGCCCCAGCCTTCACACAGGTGCCCATGCGACTTCACTCACGTTCCTGAGACCCTCCCCACAGGGCCCACTGGGCAGGAGCGGGACAGAGAAAAGCAAGTGGCAGTGTTCCCTAGCAGACACATAACACCTGGGTAGGACCTCTTCTGTGACAATGCGGGAAGTCTAACCCTACACGTGCTCAGGATGGGCAGGGATTGCACAACAAATGGACAGGACTGGGTGACCTCCCTGGGGAAAGCTGATCCCCAGTCTCCTCCAGAGCGGGGGCTCGCTCCCTATTCAGCAGCCTCGGGTGGGGCGTCCAGGCCCGAGTGGCCGTGACTATCCCCTGTGCAGCACAGCGATCCAGAGCCACCAAGTCCAACCCCACCCAACATCCCCCCAACGCCATGCCCCAGCAGGAACCAGGCAGCCAGGGTTCAAATGTGCATGAACTTGACAAGCTACTCAGCCTCTGGAAATGAGGGGAATAACCATCTGCTCAGGAGTGGTCAGGAGGGTCTACCCTGACCTACAGGTAGACAGAAGGACGCCTGTGGGAGGAACCTCGGAGACGCTGGCCATGAACATCTTCACCAGCCCAGTAAGTACCCCCGCGGAAAGGCAGGCACCCTGGGAGGACCTCCACGCAGGCATCACCTCCCCATTGCAGATGCACAAGCTGAGGCTCAGAGCCCAGAAGTAAATCCGGAGACCCCAGGCACGGAGCCCCCCAAACGTCCATGGGGATTGGGATCACTTTTTTGGGCCTGCGCAGTGGGGGCGGGGCCGAGCCGAAGAGGACGGGGCCTAACGGGGGCGGGGCCTAGCCAGGAAAGGCGAGGCCTAGTCGGGGAGGGGAGGGGAGGGGGCGGAAGGGCGGGGACGGATGAATGATGGGCGGGGCCTATCGGAGGAGGGCGGGGCCAAGTGGAAGAAGGGAGGTGGAGGCCGAGGGGCGGGGCCTATCTGGGAGAGCGGGCCCTAGCTGAAGGGGCGGGGTCGCACCGACCTGGCCCCGCCCCCCCCGTGACGCACCTAGAATTGGCGCGGCCGCGATGGCGGGACCCTGTGCCGCACCCCCCCACCCCCGTGCGCGCTCCTCCTTCGTACCCGCCCCTCCCCACGCGCGCCCCCAGGCCGCCCCGTAGTCTCCATGTCCCCCGGGGTCCGCACGCGGGTCCTGGCGTGCGGGGTGGCACGGCAGAGAGGGCCCTACGCGGGCGACGGCCTGGGAAGCGCGGGGGACGCTTACTGTCTAGGTAGTGCTCCAAGTACATGGCGGTCGCCATCTTCGTCCGCGGCCGCGCTCTGGGTCTGCGCGGGCGGGCGGCGCCGCGAGAGGCAGGGGGCGGGGCCGGTGCGTTCACTATTAATGAGCCTTGCGCGCTGATTGGCCGGCCCGCGCGGGCCAGCCCCTGGTTTCCGGTCGGTGGTGTGCAGGCGGCGTCGCGCGGGAGTGTGGGCCGGGGTCCGGGCGTGGGAACCTGGACTCTTGTCCCTCGGGCCCCCGCCCACTCGTCCTGGCCGCCTGTGACACGTGGTTGGTGAGCCAACCCCCACTCCTGTGTCGGGTTGGACGCAGAGTAGGTGCCTGCGAAGAGTGACGAACGGGTTCCAGTGGACGAGAGGGAGTGCACCGGATGCGCGGAACAAAACCGGGGGAGACAGGACATATGTAGATGGCGGCTAAGGCGGTCGTTGGGCCAGCGCCCACGTTTCTCCAGCGCTGACCGCTCGCGGGGCGCCTCGGGGAAGGGGTTCTGCGGCATCTCCGCCCGCTCATTATGTCCGAGGCACAGCTGGCCACTGGTGGAAAGGGGTCTGGGCCCCGAACCACACCCCTTCCTTGGCCCCTGAGATTAAGGGAATTGGTCCTGCCAAGTGGCGTACCCTGATCAATGAATGAGCAGTAGTTTCGTTATTGAAAGTGCATTGTTAAAGATGTCCCCCCCCCCACTTACTGAAGTCTTTCTTAAACCCCAAATATTTAAAAATGGAAGCATATTCATGTTTTGGCCAATTTTATGTTCATTATAAAAATTCAGACTATACAGGAATTTATAGTTTCCCCTCCTCCCGAGGGTACAGGACTGTGATAAATCTTGTTCACCTTTGAATCCAGGTGGTAGTTTGGGTGCATTCTTTCTGGCTCCACTTAATGCTTGATGAGAAAACGTGCACACACACATAAGTAATTCAATGCTGCCCACCTTTTTTATTGTTTTAAGTGGCTACGTTTTTTTAATTAATACTTAGAGCAATTTTAGGTTTACAGAAAAATTGAGTCGAGTTCCTATATACTCCCTCCACACATAGTTTCCCCTATTATAAATATTTTGGTGTGGTACATTTAGTACAATGGATGAAACAATATTGATACATTATTATTAACTCAAGTCCATAGTTTAGGGTTCACTCTCGTACAATTATGTTACGTATCCGTCATTACAGTATCATACAGAATAGTTTCCCTGCCCTCAAAATTTCCCGTGCTCCCCCTATTCATCCCACTCCCTGCCCTGCCACAACCTCAGGCAACCACTGATCTCTTTACTGTCTATGTAGATTTGCCTTTTCCAGAATGTCATATAGTTGGAATCACAGTATGTATGGTTCCTCTCACTTAGTAATATGCATTTAAGTTTCCTCCCTGTCTTTTCACGGCTTGATAGTTCATTGTTTCTTAATGTTGAATACTTCATTGTCTGGACGGATCATAGTTTATCCATTCACCTATTGAAAGACATCTTGGTTGCTTCCAAGTTTTGTCAATTATGAATAAAGCTGCTATATTGTTACTTTCATACAGGTTTTTATTTGGACATAGTATTCAATTCCTTTGGGTAAATACCAAGAAGTGGTATTAAGTATGAATGCTGAATCACACTATAAGATTACGTTTGGTTCTGTCTTCCCAAGTGGATGCACAATTTGCATGCCCCACCCCTGGCAGTGACAGAGTTCCTGCTGCTCCACGTCCCCACCAGCATCTGGTGTGGTCAGTGTCCCAATAGATATATAGAGGTGCCCCATTCTGTTACCACTTCCCTAAGAACATGATGTAGGCTACCTTTCAAATACATATTTGCTATCTGTATTTGTCCTTTGGGGAGGTGTCTGTTCAGATCTTTTGCCCATTTTTCAGTTGGGCTATTTGTTTTCTTGGTTTGGTGAGTTATGCTATCCACTTTTTCACTATGTACATCTTTCACTTAATATGCTTCATGTTTGCTCAATTCTTCATCCTGTTTGCTAGATGTATTTCATTGTGTCAGTATGCCACATTTTAACCAACTCCTTACAGATGTACAGTGTTTCTATAAACAATGCTCTGGGGCCAGCCGAGTGGAGCATTGGGTAAAAGTTGGCTTGGAATGCCAGCTCTGAGCAGCAGGACCCTGGTTCAGATCCCACATTAGGACCAGTGACGCTGCACCCTCTACAGCTAAGATGGTGAACAACAGCTCAACCTGGAGCTGGGCTGCAGTGAGTTGCCAGTGAGTTGCTGGATCTGGGCTGCCGTGAGAGGCTGCAATGAAGCTGCAATGGGCTACCATAAGCTACCATGAGTGTGGCTGGCTGCAGGCGTGAATGTCCGGCAGCCAGCATGAGCCGCTGTGAGCGGCCGTCCAGTGGCCGGCGACTGATCTGCCTCACCCGGGAAGAGCGCAATGATAATACCAACATGGGCCAGTGAAGCAACATCCTCCACAACTAGACTGAAGAGCAAAAGGACAGCAACTTGTCTGTTCCCCTCCCCCGATTCCCCAATAAAATCTTTAAAAAAACAATGCTCTGGTGAACACTGGTTCATATAGTGGTAGGTATTCTGTCCCAGTTACTTATTGCTGCATAATAAACTTAGTGTTTTAAAAGAACCATTTTATTATAGCTCACAGTTTTTATGAGTCAGGCATCCCAGCAAGAGCTCAGTTGAGTGATTCTCCTGTTCCTTGTGATACCATAGAGATGACTGGGGTGGCTGGAAAGCTGCATTCAACTGGCACCTTGGATCAGAGTGCCTATATGTGGCCTCACCAGCCCGTAGTCCCAGGTAGTAGTACTTCTTCCGTGGCCACTCAGGGTTCCCAGAGAGTTCTAGGAGGCCCCAGTGGAAGACTCTTGTGACTTCACCTTGCTTGTCCGGAGCCATCACCTCACTACATTCTATTGGTCAAGTAAGTCTTTAGTGCCAACCCAGATTGGAAGGGAGGGGAAATTAGACCCCACCTCTTAATGGGAGGAGTAGCAAGGGTTGTAGCCATCTTTACCACATTGTCTTTGTTTTTTTCGGAGATATTGTTAGCAATGGTATTATTGCTGGCTCAAAGAGTAGTGTGTATGTTCTAAGTGCTGATATTTTTAAATGAACTGATACCCACTACGGATGTTTCTACAATTTTGTTAACCCTAGATTTCATCAGGCTTGTTTATCTTTGCTCACATGATAGAAAAAAAATGACCAAAAAACCAACCTCAGTGTTTCAATTTGTATTTCTTTAAGTAAATCTAAACATGTTTTTACATATTTGTTGGCTATCTGTAGTTTTTCTATCATTTTCTTTATGTCCTTTACCCAGTATTCATGGATAAATTGGTCTTCTTGCCTTTCATCTAAAAAATATTATCATAGGAAATAAATCATATAGCATGTCCTTTGTGTGTCATGTATTGAAAATAATTTCTCCCAGATAAGTTTATCTTTCACTCACAGAAGCAAACTGACAAGTTCTCTTAGAGACCCTGTTTAGAAGCTGCCAGAGTGAGAGCTGACTCCCTTACTATCTCTTTTCTATACACTCTAGAGCGGGGCTTCCCAGCCTCAGCTCCACTCACATTTTGGGCCCAATACCCTGCTGTGGGGGCTGTTCTGTGCCTCGTGGGCTATTTAGCAGCATCCGTCCCTGGCCTCTGCCCAATAGATGCTGTGAGCACCCCCACCAAAGTTTTCATAATCAAAATGTCCCCCAATTGAGAAACAGTGCTTTAAGAGAAGGCTAAGCTACTCTACCAAAGAAACCCAACCAAATCCAGTGGTTAAAAAAAGAATTTTATCTCTTATGTAACAGTCCAGGGGCAGGCAGCCATGCTCATGGGGTCACTTGGGGACCCAGATTCCTTCCAGCATGATGTCTACTCCCAAAAGGGCTCACTGTCGTCTTCATGGTCAGAGCTGGGTTGAAGGCGAGTAGGGAAGGAAAGAGGGAGAGTCTGCTGTCTGAAGGAGCACATGGCCCTTCTGCTCACATTTCATTGGTGGTAACTTTGTCACCTGGCCACATCTAAGTGCAAGGAGTGCTGGGAAATGTATTTTAGCAGGGCAGTGATGTGCCCAGCACGATCTCTTCTTCTGGAAGTAGGGGAGTGCTATGGACTGAATATCCCCCCAAAATTCATAGGTAAAATCCCTAACCCCCAATGTGACTACAGGTGATTAAAAGGAAGAAACACCAGAGATCTCTCTGTCCCTCCTCACACCTGTACAACAGAAAGGCCAGGTGAGGACACAGCCTGCCACCTGCCACCCAAAGGAAGAGTTCTCACCAAACATCAACCTTCCTGGTGCCTTGATCTTGGACTTCCAGCCTCCAGATCTGTGATGTTTAAGTCATCCCATGTGTGGCATTTGTTATGGAAGCCCAGCTAAAAGAAAGAGAGAGACGTTGATGGATGGTATCAATGTCTGACACAATTCCTCTGATAGGGAAGGTGCAACACACTGAGGACAGTAAAAGTGTTTGAATGTCTTTTCTTTTTTAATGGTAAATCTCAAACACACAAAAGTAGAGAGAACCTAATGAACCCCAGGTGCTCATCTGTCGCCTTACAGCCGATTTTTAGACCACCCCCTCTGCATTAGCCTCTGACCCATTAGTCGAGAGAGTGTCTCGGAAAACTGAGGCCGGATGGAATGATATC